TATATTTATTTATAAGTAGAATACTAATTAATAAATATATAAAGAATCTTTTATAAATATAATTTAAGGTTTTAAAGTAATACTAAAGTTATAGAATATATAATAAGTAACTTTAATAAAGGAAAAAGAAAAAGAAAATAAAAAGTAAAAGTAAAGTAAAATTAAATTTAGCCTATAGGTAAAAGACCCTAGAAAACCTTTTCAAAAATAGCCTTAGGCTAAGGGGCCTAAGGGTATATAAGAATTAAAAAATAGCCCTAGGCTAAGGAGCTTAATTAATATTTATTACTACTATAGAAAAACGCCTTTATTTATAAGTTAATAAGCCCCTATAATATAGCCTAAGTGCCCTAGTTAAGGAGTAACTTATTAATAAAGCTATTAATTCTAGTATATATATAATATACCTTAAGACTAAGAATATTAACTAAAGGAGAAAATATAATACCTTTATTATTTACTTTACTAGGCTTATTTTTTATAACTACTTTTTCTTTTTCTTTTTTTTTCTTAGCCTCTTTAGCCTTTTCTTTTTCCTTAGTAAATAATTTAAATAGTAGTCCTATAATAGCTTTTTTATGATTAAAAAAGTAAATAAGACTACTTATACTTTATAGTATAAAGCTATAAATTATAATAATAAAGTTAGTATTAAAAAATAATAATATAATAAAGATATATTTTATACTTTTTATAAAGTACTACTAACTAATAAAGTATATAGAAGTATATTAACTAGGCTAATTAGTACTATAAGAATTAGCCTATAGCTATTATAATTTAAAATATAGTACTATTATGTCTTAAGATATATAGTCTATAAAAGAATTTTATAAGTATACTATAAAAGTAGTAATTATAAAGACCTATAATAGTAATATTAGTTACTAACTTTTTCTATATATACTTTATAGTATTAATAAAGATACTATTATTACTATTACGCTTTTTACTATTACCCTTAAGAAAAAAAAAAGATCTTAATAGAGATTATTAGTAATACTAGTGTCTAGGACTAAGATTAAATTTTTTAATCTATTAACTATTAAGAAAAGTAAATAGTTAATAAGTATATAAAAATAAAATAATAATATACTAGGTAATAATAAAAGAAAACTATTAATAAAGCCTTTTTCTTTACTAATAACTAAGAGTTATTTAAGATACTTTATATTTTTATAAATACTAGACAGATTATAGCTATATTTTTCTTAATTACTAACTAGGTTAAGGTAAAGTTATAGACTTTAACCTTTTTTAGGAGCACTATATAATAGTTAGTTATAAGTAATAAGTAATTATAATATAAGATACTTATAAGCCTTTTCCTTAGGGGTATTCTAGCCCTTATTAAGCTAAAAAGGCTTCTCTTGTAAGAGTAAGCACAAGAGCAATAAAGTAAGGTAAATAATAATATTGCTAATCTATAGTAGTGTATATCTATAATAAAGGAAATCCTCTTAAGGCTATAGCAGAGGCTAGTAAAGAGGTGAGGGGCCTAGGAGGTCACGTAACCTCCTAGTACATTGGCCCCTTTATAACACTCCCCCTTAGGCTCTACTAACTTAATAAATATTATACATAGGGGCAAAATAATAGCCTAATCTAAAAGCCTCTAAATCTAAGGAGTTTTTAAAGTATATAATAACTTTAGCTATACACTAGTAATTATCCTATTAGGCTAGTAATAATTAATTTATATACTAAAGTCTATATAATACTAATCCTTTAATATATATCCTCTATAATAGTCTATATAGCTTTTTAATCTAACCTATTTACTATACTTAGTAACTATATAAAGTCTTTATATTTAGTTAGTGCTAGTAGTTTAGTAAGACTATTAGTAGCTATCTTAGTGCCCTTAATAAGTTAGAGGGTAATATTCTTTTAGGTATAAACCTTTTATATTATCTATTTATATTAGACGTTAATACTTTAGGTATATACCTTATTAAGGGGATTTATTATATTAACTATTATATTAGTACTATTAGTAAAGAGGATAGTTAGTATATCTAATAGTTAGCTAAGGAGCTACTTAGTATAGTAGTAAATCTACTTTATAGTAATAGTAGTAAGTATAAGGTTAATAAACTTTACCTTTATAAAGCTTAGAGTAATAAAGGTCTACTTCTTTAACTTCTAGGTAATTAGTAATCTTATAAAGTAAATAATACAACTATATATAGAAACCTATAATAAGTAATTATTAGTAAAAAAGTATTTACTATTATATAGAGGCTAATATTAGCAGAGGGGTTAAGTTTACTAAATAAGATACTATAATAGGTAGTACCTTTAAGATAGTAAAAAAGATACTTAATAGCAGCTAGATAGGTAGATAACAGGCTAGTATTAGCCTAAAAAAGCTTACTAACTATAAAAGTAATATCTAGGCGTATACTAGTAGCTAACTAGTTAAGGCAGCTAGTCTACTTAATATAGGTTTATTAGTTAGGTTTAAAACACTTATCCTTTACCTATATAGTAAGTAACTTATAGTTAGTAAGTAATAGAGTCTTAATAAGTTAAAAATTACTATATTTAAAGTAATAAAGTATACTATTAGTATACTTATTTTAGTTAATAAAGATTTTATTAATAATAAAGTATTAAATCTAAAAGCTAAGAAATTAGGAAGCCTTACTAAGGTCCTTTAATAAGTAGACCTTAGTAAGTATATTATATACCTTTTTAGTAGTCTTCTTATTAGTAGTAGCTACTATATTATTATTAATATATATTAAGGTGTACGTCTAGGTAAAAGCTAATTTTTTCTATTTTACCCTTAATAAGTATAAACTACTATAGTAGTACTTTATAAAGGCTATAAAGATCCTTATAAAGTAACTATACCTTATTATTATTAGTAGTATAACTAGTAAATTAATAGATATAGATATAAGTACTATTAAGTATTAAGGTAGTAAGAAAGGCAGTATTAAAGTTATGTATTTTATATACTAGTCTATATAAGGTAATAATAGTAAAAAAGAGGTGTATAGTAGTAGTAGTAGCTATAGTAGTATATACCTCTTATAAAGACTATTTACCTTACTTAT